TGTTGATGGCCACTGTCCCTACAGCTAACTTTCACTGATGATGGCCACTGTCCATACAGCTAACTTCCACTGTTGATGGCCACTGTCCCTACAGCTAACTTTCACTGATGATGGCCACTGTCCAGACAGCTAACTTCCACTGATGATGGCCACTGTCTATACAGCTAACTTCCACTGAAGATGGCCACTGTCCATACAGCTAACTTCCACTGGTGATGACCACTATCACTACAGCTAACTTCCACTGTTGATGGCCACTATCACTACAGCTAACTTCCACTGTTGATGGCCACTATCACTACAGCTAACTTCCACTGTTGATGGCCACTATCACTACAGCTAACTTCCACTGTTGATGACCACTATCACTACAGCAAACTTCCACTGTTGATGGCCACTGTCCCTACAGCTAACTTTCACTGATGATGGCCACTGTCCATACAGCTAACTTCCACTGATGATGGCCACTGTCTATACAGCTAACTTCCACTGAAGATGGCCACTGTCCATACAGCTAACTTTCACTGGTGATGACCACTATCACTACAGCTAACTTCCACTGTTGATGGCCACTGTCCTACAGCTAACTTCCACTGATGATGGCCACTGTCCATACAGCTAACTTCCACTGTTGATGGCCACTGTCCCTACAGCTAACTTTCACTGATGATGGCCACTGTCCATACAGCTAACATCCACTGATGATGGCCACTGTCTATACAGCTAACTTCCACTGAAGATGGCCACTGTCCATACAGCTAACTTTCACTGGTGATGACCACTATCACTACAGCTAACTTCCACTGTTGATGGCCACTGTCTCTACAGCTAACTTCCACTGATGATGGCCACTGTCCCTACAACTAACTTCCACTGATGATGGCCACTATCCCTAGAGCTAAATTCCACTGATCATGGCCACTGTACCTAAAGTTAACTTCCACTGACAATGGCCACTCTCCCTACAGCTAACTTCCACTGACGATGGACACTGTCCCTACACCTAACTTCCACAGAAGATGGCCACCGTCCCTACAGCTAACTTCCACAGAAGATGGCCACCGTCCCTACAGCTAACTTCCACTGACGATGGCCACTATCCCTACACCTAACTTCCACTGACAATGGCCACCATCCCGAGAGCTAACTTCCACAGATGATGGCCACTGTCCCTATAGCTAAATTCCACTGATGATGGCCAATATCCCTACACACAACTTCCACGGATGATGGCCACTGTCCTTACGGCTAACTTCCACTGATGATGGCCACAGTCCCTAAAGCTAACTTGCACTGATGATGGCCACTATCCCTACAGGTAAATTTCACTGACAATGGCCACTGTCCCGACAGCTAACTTCCACTGACGACAGACACTGTCCCTACAGATAACTTCCACTGACGATGATCACCGTCCCTACAGCTGAATTCCACACATAATGACCACGGCCCTACTGGTAACTTTCACTGATGATGGCTAGACCCTTCAGCTAATTTACACTGATGATGGCCACTATCACTACAGCTAATTTTTACTGATGGCCATAGTCCCTACAGCTAACGTCCACTGACAATGGCCATAGTCCCTACAGCTAACATCCACTGACAATGACCATAGTCCCTACAGCTAATGTCCATTGACAATGGCCATAGTCCGTATAGCTAACGTCCACTGACAATGGCCATAGTCCGTATAGCTAACGTCCACTGACAATGGCCATAGTCCCTACAGCTAACATCCACTAACAATGACCATAGCTAATGGCCATAGTCCCTACAGCTAACGTCCATGGCCATAGTCCCATAGCTAACGTCCACTGACAATGCTATAGTCCCTACAGCTAACATCCACTAACAATGACCATAGTCCCTACAGCTAACGTCCATAGTCCGTGATAGCTAACGTGACCATAGTCCGTATAGCTAACGCCCACTGACAATGGCCATAACAGCTAACATCCACTAACAATGACCATAGTCCAGCTAACATTGACAATGGCCATAGTCCGTCCATTGACGCCAGTCCATAGTTAACGGACCATAGTCCGTATAGCTAACGTCCACTGACAATGGCCATAGTCCGTATAGCTAACGTCCACTGACAATGGCCATAGTCCGTATAGCTAACGTCCACTGACAATGGCCATAGTCCCTACAGCTAACATCCACTGACAATGACCATAGTCCCTACAGCTAACGTCCATTGACAATGGCCATAGTCCGTATAGCTAACGTCCACTGACAATGGCCATAGTCCCTACAGCTAACATCCACTAACAATGACCATAGTCCCTACAGCTAACGTCCATTGACAATGGCCATAGTCCGTATAGCTAACGTCCACTGACAATGGCCATAGTCCGTATAGCTAACGTCCACTGACAATGGTCATAGTCCGTATAGCTAACGTCCACTGACAATGGCCATAGTCCCTACAGCTAACATCCACTGACAATGACCATAGTCCGTATAGCTAACATCCACTGACAATGGTCATAGTCCGTATAGCTAACATCCACTGACAATGACCATAGTAGCTAACGTCCACTGACAATGGCCATAGTCCGTATAGCTAACGTCCACTGACAATGGCCATAGTCCCTACAGCTAACATCCACTGACAATGACCATAGTCCCTACAGCTAACGTCCATTGACAATGGCCATAGTCCGTATAGCTAACGTCCACTGACAATGGCCATAGTCCCTACAGCTAACATCCACTGACAATGACCATAGTCCCTACAGCTAACGTCCATTGACAGTGGCCATAGTCCGTATAGCTAACGTCCACTGACAATGGCCATAGTCCATATAGCTAACGTCCACTGACAATGGCCATAGTCCGTATAGCTAACGTCCACTGACAATGGCCAGTCCCTACAGCTAACATCCACTGACAATGACCATAGTCCCTACAGCTAACGTCCACTGATAAAGGCCACTGTCCCAACCTGCAAACTAACTTCCACTGATAATGGATATAATTTCTACAGCTAAACTTCCACTGATGATGGCCACTTTCCCTATAGCTAACTTCCACTGATGGTGGCCACTGTCCCTGCAGCTAATTTCCACTGACAATGGCCACTATCCCTACAGCTAACTTCCACTGACAATGGCCACTATCCCTACAGCTAACTTCCACTGACAATGGCCACTATCCCTACAGCTAACTTCCACTGATGATGGCCACTGTCCCTACAGCTAACTTCCACTGACGATGGACACTGTCCCTACACCTAACTTCCACTGACAATGGCCACCATCCCGAGAGCTAACTTCCACAGATGATGGCCACTGTCCCTACAGCTAACTTCCACTGACGATGGCCACTGTCCCTACAGATAACTTCCACTGACGATGGCCACTGTCCCTACAGATAACTTCCACTGACGATGATCACCGTCCCTACAGCCGAAGTCCACTCATAATGACCACGGCCCTACTGGTAACTTTCACTGATGATGGCTAGACCCTTCAACTAATTTACACTGATGATGGCCACTATCACTACAGCTAATTTTTACTGATGATGGCCATAGTCCCTACAGCTAACGTCCACTGACAATGGCCATAGTCCCTACAGCTAATGTCCACTGACAACGACCATAGTCCCTACAGCTAACGTCCACTGACAATGGCCATAGTCCCTACAGCTAACGTCCACTGACAATGGCCATAGTCCCTACAGCTAACGTCCACTGACAATGGCCATAGTCCCTACAGCTAACGTCCACTGACAATGGCCATAGTCCCTACAGCTAACGTCCACTGACAATGGCCATAGTCCCTACAGCTAACTTCCACTGATAAAGGCCACTGTCCCTACCTGCAAACTAACTTCCACTTATAATGGCCACAGTCCCTACAGCTAACTTCCACTTATAATGGCCACAGTCCTTACAGCAAACTTCAACTGATAATGGCCACCGTCCCTATAGGTAACTTCCACTGATAATGGCCACAGTCCCTACCTGCAAACTAACTTCCACTGATAATGGCCATAATCTCTACAGCTAAACTTCCACTGATGATGGCCACTTTCCCTATAGCTAACTTCCACTGATGGTGGCCACTGTCCCTACAGCTGACTTCCTCTAATGATGGCCACTGTCTGTACAGCTAACTTCCAGTGATGATGGCCACTATCCCTACATCTAAAGTTTACTGACAATGGCCACTGTCGCTACAGCTTACTTACACAGATGATGGCCACCATCCCGACACCTAACTTCCGCTGACAATGGCCAGTCTCCCTGCAGCTAACTTCCACTGGCCAGTGTCCTTACAGCTAACTTCCACTGGCCACTATCCCTACAGCTAACTTCCACTGGCCACTATCCCTACAGCTAACTTCCACTGGCCACAGTCCCTACAACTAATTTCCACTTATAATGGCCACAGTCCCTACAGCTAACTTCCACTGATAATGGCCACAGTCCCTACAGCTAACTTCCACTGATAATGGGCACAGTCCCTACAGCTAACTTCCACTTATAATGGCCACAGTCCTGATAGTCCTAAGCTAACTTCCACTGATAAAGGCCACTGTCCCTACCTGCAAACTAACTTCCACTTATAATGGCCACAGTCCCTACAGCTAACTTCCACTTATAATGGCCACAGTCCTTACAGCAAACTTCCACTAATAATGGCCACAGTCCCTAAAGGTAACTTCCACTGATAATGGCCACAGTCCCTACAGCTAACTTCCACTTATAATGGCCACAGTCCCTACAACTAATTTCCACTGGTAATGGCCACAGTCCCTACAACTTACTTCCACTGATAATGGTCACAATACCGTCAGGTAACTTCCACTTATAATGGCCACACAATCCCTACAGCTAACTTCCACTGATAATGGCCACAGTCCCTACAAGTAACTTCCACTGATGATGGCCACCATCAATATAACTAATTTCCACAGATGATGGCCACCATCCCTTCAGCTGCTGTTTAAGGGTTATTATTAAGATATAATTTTATTAATCTTACTTGAAGTTTTCTTCAGAAGTATCTTCCTGGTGTCCAAGTTCAATATGTCTCTTGAGATGTTGTTGCCGAGTGTATGAGTGAGAACAGCCTGCTGCTGGACACACAAATGGTCTCTGCAAATGTACACTAATATACTATTAATCTATTATTGCAATGATACTTACATATTTCCTACATGAAGACAATGAATAATTTGTTGATTCATTAGTACCTGTACTGTAATTTTGGTTGTTAAATATCGTCATGGATGGGACAGTAGAGAGATATGAGTAATGGAGAGGGCTGAAAATTGGGGAAATAATATTACATGGTGGGAATGGAAAGCGAGTACAGTAAGTTACCTTGTACAATTCTAAAGAAAGCCCCATCTGGTTACCGAGATATGCAAGAGACTGTCAGTTATTTGAAAATGCCCAAATGAGGGCCACCAGACAGGTGCACTCACTACAGCATCTGTTACCCTGAGAGATTAAAACACCTACAGTTGCCTAGCTTATACTAAAGGCAGGTAAGGGTTAACTTAATGGATGTCTATAAACACTTCAGAGGACATTACTCAGTCGAGAGTTCATGCCTGGAGCTGGTGGATGTCTGCCCCACTAGGGATCACAGCTTATGGTTGAAGTAGCCACAAATTCAGAAAAATGTTAGAGCAAACTCTTTTTAGAGTGAGAGTTGTGAACTCTTGGAACCTGCCAATGAGTGTTGTGATGGCACTGAGTGTAAACTCATTCAAGACCAGATTTGACCAACATTGGTGCAGGTATCCAGGTACAGATACTTTCTGGACCAATACATGCCTATTACTTGCCAACAGTGCGTAAAAGAGACGTAGCTAACCACACAAGCGGCTAACAGGCTGATAAGTGCCAAGAGGATAAAATAAGTAAAAGTTATAGTGGGAGACTGAGAAGAGGAGTTGCAAATGTTAGTCTCCATCACCAAATTCTCAGGAGTTGTAACCACAATTTTTTTTAAATTTTACAAAGACTGTTTACTGGGAAATGAATAGAAAATGGTTGGATCAACCTGACAGGTTATGAAATTTCCAACCTTTCGTGACAACCATTACACCAGGTTACCCTCAATTGATACTGGTAGTGTAATGGGGTGGATGGGTGTACAGTACAGTATATGCATATGTATGAAAAGATGACCTGTGGTGTAATGGTCAGCGTGCTCGTCTCACAAGCTAGTGTACCTGGGTTCGATACCCGGGCAGGGTGAAACTATGAGAAAGTTTCTTTATGCCATTTGCCTCTGTGTACAGAGCAGCAATTGAGGACCTGGATATTAATTGATTTGTGGATCGTGTTCTGGGGTAATGGTTAGCCAGTGTTGTTGGCGAGTTGTCTGGTCTTCTCGGACTATTCCTTGACACTGGGTCATGGAACTCACTAACTTAGGGTGTAGTTGCTGTGTTGGGGACAGCTTCTACACCTGAAACAAATTCAAGCCTAGGTGGCCCTAGGGCCAGCCATCCTTGATTCTGAGGGGCATCCATTAAATCAAAACTGGATTAAAAGCTTAACTATGCTAAGGTCCTGTCTTTCTTCTTGGTGTAGCAGACAGTTGACTCACTGATGCCATACTCCCGGCCACACGCAGCCACTCCTAAGTTTATCCAGCAGTTGTATCTTCTCCACAAGGGCCATGACCTTCTTTTATATCTTGTTTGGTCGCCTTTCCGCAGCTGGATGAAGATGGTTGAGGACACGAGGAGCACAGTTGTTAAGAGAGCGGAGAAGCACATGCATGAGACGGACAAGTGTTTATCCTGGACTGAGGCGGATTGAGTAAGCCTCCCAGGACAGCAGAGACACCTTGCAGGACGCCACAAAACACGTGCTCTCCCTGTCTCAGTCACGAACATGCCACCAACTTTAAAACTACCCGCAGACATCCTTGGGTAAAACCAGGGCGTTAGCCACGAATAAGTGAAGGCTGCGCATTAAAAATCTGCGCATTGTAAGGGCATGCTTTAGTGTATTACAAAAGTTGCCTGGCCAGAAACTGAATTGAGCAAATGTGAGAATACCAAATATTTACAGCTTTAATTAAATGTACAATACTTTATTCCTAATTAAGAGGTTAATGTAGTACAAAGTATTATATTATAAATATATGGGTCTAAAAAATTATACAACTAAAATCTAAATGGTGCTTTTACGGAAAGTCATTACCTACATTACGCAAGCTTTCATCCCTCACCCTCACACACACTCACCTCACCAGTATGTGTCCTTAGATGCTGAGCAAGGCGACTGGGTCTACTGAAAACTTTTTCACAGCTTTCATAAGTGCATGAATGCACCAAGTATTTAGCCTTAAGAGTAAGAGATGTTTCTGGGCCTTCCCTATGACTGCTCACATCCTTGGTTCTGTCACAAGTTTCTGTCAGCTTGATTTTACTTCTCTTAAAGTTGTCAGGTTTCACTTCTTTATTTCCCTTCTCATCATTTCCTTGTTCTTCTGCTGCATTTTCAATGACAACATTAGCATCATCTTTAAAACATGATGAGCCTTCATTAGAACCACTCAAACGATGAGGTACATTATCAAAATCCATAGATATTTCAATGTAGTTTTCTCTTGCCATCTGGAAAGATAAGTTAACTTCTATATTTGTTCTCTGAAAAGAGAGTTTATTGAAGAATCCTCACTTGAAATGAGAAGTATTACTATAAATAAATGTGTGCATATCATATACAACTGTGCATATCTGTTGTGTTAAATACATGTGGCAAGAACCAAAAAGAACAACTCTTGGGTCACTTGCTCTTACTGATTCCTGGTAACAGTCTCCCTAACTATGGTGCTGTTTGTTTACATATGATGCTTTCATTTTAAACTGCCCAGAGGGAGACCCACCAATTTATCCACATCCTTTAAAAACAATTTACCATGACACATTAGCAGCAGGTGTATTTCTGTAAAACACTCAAAGCCACACACATTCACACCATTGTATGTCTATCCCCCTCCTTTCATGCCCCTCCTCATCCTATCATTATCCCCCTCCCCAATTTTCCTCTCTACACCAGCCACCTCTATATACTGTGCATACTGTATTTTTTTTTTTACCAATCTTTCATTTCTCATTCTCACTATGTCTATACCACTCAAGAAAACCCAACATTGCTTCCAGTCAGGAACTCCCAGAGTTGTAAAAAGTACCAGACTTTGTTATTTAAGTAAATGTATTGGTACCTTGGCAAAATGTTACTTAAGTAGAAGAAAAAGTATACAAATGTCAATGTACGCATGTAGAAGTAAAAATGTACATCATTCATAAAATACTCAAGTACCTGTACTGAAAGTAAAAGGTAATAAAAAATTTAAATTGTCTCAAATATTAAAATAAATCCACAGTAAATATAAAAAATAGTTAACTACAGTAATCCCTCGGTTAACGAGCGCCTCGGTTCACGAGTTACCTCCCATAAGATTCTTAACTTCGGTTAACGAGCAATCCCTCGGTTAACGAGTTTCTTAAGAGCCGACCTCAACATGTTTTCACTTGCACTTGGAGATCAACCAGCTGTAGTATTAGTCCGCCAATACAGTAATCGGTTTTAGGGCTTAAATTCCTTACTATTTTAGTAAATATCAAGAAGTTTATACTATTCAATAATTTTAAAAAATTCATATTAAATTTTTAGTCATTTTAACAATTATTGAACATAATTGAAGGTAAAGTCACTAGTTTTATGCGCGCCATCCAGCCTCTTAACACAGCAATCAAGCGTTAGTCTCTCTGTTTTCAGTGGAGGTAACATCTTGCTTGAGACTCTCTTCAACTAAATGCTTTTTTTCTGTGTTTCCAAGCAAATTATTGGTCATTTTGAAATTTATTTTACATATTGACAATATATAGCGCAGTGCAGTGTTATTTTAAAGAAAATATTCTTTATTTACAGCTACGGTACATAGTTTAAACTTACAAAATCACGTGTTGACATTGTTTGAATCCAGCATGGGGCCTAAGAGATCAAGAAAAGCGATTTCAATCCAAACCAAGCAGGAAATTATAAGAAAACATGAACAAGGCATTTTTTTTTTTTTTTTAGGTTAAGGTGGGGAAAGGATGGAAAGCATGCTGGGGCTCAAGGCACAGCTAGACATGAGGGATGGAGAAGTCACAACATATAGTCGTGGGGGGAAAGGTTGGAAAAGAAGTTTAATGAATTACCAGTAAACAGAGGGGGACGACACCCCTTGTTTTACATATTACAGAGTTTGTTGGCTAACTAAGCTAACCTAGGATTTAGGATGAGGTTGCACAATGGTTATTTTAGTAGACAATGAAGAGATTTATTTTACAATTACAAGTTTATTAAAATCTTATACTGTATTACGTTATGGACTCACTTGATTGTGACTTGTTAAATGTGAATTTATATCATCTAAGTTTTAATCTAAGGTGGATCACTGTGGCGGACATAGATGGGTCGTGGGTTGGGTCGTTATAGTGCGGGCAGACTCCGGGGCCACCAGGCGTGGGGTCTCCCTCCGTTGATGTCTTCCCCGCGTAGGTGGTCTGGGCTGTGAGGGTCGTCCAGGAGCTTGTCCCAAACCTTCTTCCCTAGGAGATGGAACCTGACGTTGAGGGCCTCTGTTTTATTTCTTAGGTGGATGGTTTCCACTGTCTCCTGGTAGGGTTGTGCTTGGCCACTGGCTGATCTCAAACACTTGTTTTGGAAGCTCTGTAGTTGTTGTAGTCTAGTCTTCCCGAGTGTGGCGAGTGGTATACAGTATGTGGGTACTCCAACACAGGCCTCACCAGCGCCTTGTATCTTCTCGGGCATCAGTTTAAAACGTTTTAATTTGGCTGCGGCGACTTTGGCTTTATTTAGCCTGTCATTCACATGGGGAATGATGCCCGTCCAAGAGATGATGAGGCCGAGCAACCTGCCTTGTTTAGAGTACTCAATCTCTTCGTCGTCGATCATCAATGGGGCCGGCTTGAATTTGGCTATGGGTATGACCTCAAATTTCGTTTTGTTTGTATTTATTTTCCATTTATTTTCATACTCCGAGATCTCCTCTATTGCCCGAGCAGTGAGTCGCGCCATCCTTACTGTGGACCTTCCTGGGCAGGTGACGATCTGTGTTACATCGTCGGCATACATGACGTACTCGCTGCCGACGATTGGGGGTGGCAGGTCAGCCGTGTAGAGTGTGTAAAGGGTTGGTGAGAGACAAGAGCCCTGAGGCACGCTGCTCGATAGTGAGAATTCTTCTCCAAAATGTTCTTGCATCTTGATTTTGGCTCTGCGGTCCATAATGAAGTTACACAGCAGGCGCGTCAGATTTTCGGGTAGCCCCAGTTGCATGATCTTATACAGCAGCCCTGCGTGCCAAATTTTGTCAAACGCCTTGCTGACATCCCTCAACACTATATTGCACTGCAGGCGGCCAGCCATGGCATTGGCGATCTGCTCGTAGGCCTGAGCTATGGTGGTGGATGTGCCTCAGTACTGGCGGAAGCCGAATTGGCAGGGATTATGCACGTCTTCGTCCTCCAGATCCATCCGCAATCGCTTGTTGACTATTTTTTCGAAGATTTTGGCAGGTACCTCTAGCAGCGATATTGGTCGAAAGTTTTCGACTTTGTTTAGAGGCTTCCCTGCTTTTGGTATGAGGCGAATAACGGCGATTTTGAACATCTTAGGGAAGTATCCAGAGGCGAGGCAGGCGTTGCATATATGAGCAAGCCTCTCTGTCATGTTGTCGGGGAGTTGAGCCAGGATCTTCTTGTTAATGTGACTTTGACCAGGTGATTTGTTTTTAAACCCTTTTATGACGGCTGACACATCTGCAGGAACTATGCGCTCCGTCAGGTAGCTTCCGTCCACCAGTCTAGTGAAGTCAGTCAGTGGGAGCGGCTGGAGCAGGTGCTGATGGTCCTGCAACTGACCTAAAATGTCCTCCTGAAACTCCCTGTCGAAGCCCTCGTTCTCCTGTTCACTAATGGTAAAGATCTTTCGTAAATATCGCTGATGTACTTGTTCTTGGTTTTCTTCCTCGAATATTTTCACGTTGTTTTGGTCGAGCAGGTAAGGGACCGTGCTAGAAGTGGAACCCATCAGTTGCTTGATCCCTTTCCAGAATGCAGCAGAATCGCGGTAATTGTTGGCTGCCTCCCACACCAAGGCGGCCCACTTTTGTTCATGTAGACGTTTGCTCTCGTGCTGGATGTCCGTCTGTAGCTCTCGGTACCGGTCTCTCAGCTCTTGCGTCCACCCGCGGATACTGGCTAGTTGTCTCACGTGAGCGTACTGGACACTGAGCTGCCTCAGCTGGTGACTAGTGTGAGGGTGGGGAATGGTCCTGTAACTGGTGGTCGGGATGTTGTTGTCCATCTCCGTCTTCACATCCTTATACCATTGTTCGACCGCGTCGTCGATGTCATTGGGACTGGCTTCTTCCAGGTTTCTCCCCTGCTTGAGACTGAGAGACTCCTTGAAGGAGTCCCAGTCTGCCCATTTGAGGTTTGGCCTGATGTTGGCGAGGATCATAATGGGATTGGATGAGAGCATCACGACGACTGGCAGGTGATCGCTGGTACCGATGGGTCCGGCGGTAACGTGCCTGTTCAGGACGGCCTCGTTGTTAGAGAGGATTATGTCGGGTGTTGTGGCACTGGCACATCTGATCAATGTCAGGAAATCTGGCCCGAGGTGTTGTAGTTTTCCCCTTCTGATGTTGTCATACAGCGCCACACCGACGTTGTTCTCATTACCGTGTCCTAGTATGGCGTGGCGCGCATTTAAGTCCCCTATGATGTATGTTGGTTTTCTGTGGCGTAGCAACTGGTTTAGGTCTTGTTCGGGTAAGTAAGGACGTCTGGGAGGTAGATACATTGTGCATATGATAACAGGACCCCTAGCTGCACTCCCAGAACTGAATCCTCGAAGTCTGGCAACACTCTGTGACTCAGCCGTGACCTGATGGCCACAGCGACACCATCGTTCAGCTTACCCGTCATGTTCCTCTGGTATACAGTGTAGCCAAAAATTTTCAGCTTACTTTCGTCCTTTATGCCAGTACTGTTTAACAGAATGATGTCTAGGTCTAATTGATAGTATAAGTTAGACAGTTCGTTACGTCTATTAAGGGACCAGTGTAGGACATTATGTTGGACAATTTTCATCCTGCTAACAACTGCCATTTCGGAGACTGTAGCTTGGGGCGTCGCTTGGAGTGTTTGCTCGGCTTCTGCCATTTCTAGGGGGATGGAACTTCTTAGCAGAACCTTCGGACATCTGCTTGTCAGTCAATGGCGGGCCCTCGAACTTCTCGTCACCCATGTACAGGAAGGTGTTCAGGTCCTGGCCCTGCGTGTCGTAGTAATCAACTGACGCTGCAGCTCGAGGGTCTTGTTCATCTGTGGAGTGAGTCGTCATCATCTGGTCGCAACCATTGACTGTGGTTGCAGTCCGATGGTCACTGTCGTCGCTGGGAGTGCATGTAATGGGATCGCGGGCATTTACGGTGTAGTTGGAGCTGTGATCCCAGGGGGATTGACTGGCCACTTCGGGATTGCGGTTATACTGACTTTTGCTAAGTCAAGGAGGTCATGGTCTATTTCTGGCGTGGGTTGAGGTCGTCGATAAGTCGTTGAGTGGGTTACTGCCTTAAGGATTTCTTTTGAAGGGACTTTGTCGCTTATTTCAACAGGTGCAATGTTGTTCCTGGTTAGTGTCTCGTTGAGGTGTTTCGAGAATGAACCTGGATGAACCATGTTCATGTGATGGGCATGCAGGTAAGACAAGTATATAGTGGTGGCTTTGGACTCGTCCAACTGTGGAGAGGAGACGCTCCTGATGCTCTCGGCCACTGCGTCCCTCATGGCGCCCAGTGACTCAGTAACTGCCTCTTTTATTGAGTCCTTGGTGGTTCTTATCTCTGATTGCAGGACTTCCATGGTCTCGCTGACATTGTTGAGCTTTTGGGAGTCTGCTCGAGTTTCTTTTAGAACGTCTTTTAGGGTTTGGCTGTAAGCCATGATCGTCGACTGAGTGGTCCTTTCTATGGTGTTAGAAATTTCCTTGGTTTCTTTTTGTTTAGTTATTTCGGTCAGTTTCTTCTGTTTCTTGAAGTACCTGTTTCCTGACCAGGCAGGTGGCAGAGAAGGTCCTGTGGTCACCCTCGCAGACGACACACTTTTTTATGGTGCTACGGCAGTCTTTGTAGAAGTGCTGATCAGATGAACACTCATAGCATATGACCCCTTGCATGGGGCAGTTCTCGGTCATGTGGTCATTGTATTTATAGCACTTCATACATTGTTGGATGGGCGTATACTTTTCATATTCTATTTGGTGTTATGAGATGGAAGTGACATATACATAAAGCCCCTTCTCCTTCATTCTTTTTGCATCCGTTGTGTCTGCAAAGCGAACCTTGATTATATTATGGGCATACATAGGATACACCTCCACAACCTTGACATTGTTTTGCTTTTGTATTTCATCTCTTATTTCTTCTGCGTTATTTTCCACTACATCTTTGTCTAACTTCTTACATACAAGGGTGAGCTTGGCGCCGTATTCCCGTGGGACAATGACCTCGCAACCGTTAGTTTTCATTTTGTCCATGGCACTAGACTTAAGTAGTTTATCAGCATCTTCATCTGTTTCTGTGAGGATGATGTAACCATCTGTCAGATCCACAAGTCTAATTATTCTCACCCTTAGGTCGCTCAATAGCCATTTTAGCCCTATCCGAGACCCCTGGGTCGGGGTTCCGGAGATCTTCACTCTCACTTTGGCCATGGTCAGTAACATACATGAATGAATGAATGAAAATTCTACCTAATCTGTCCACCTCAGCTAAACCCCATGGATGCCGCTCCTTCTGTCCGCTTGCTGGGCGAGTAAAGACGGGTCTAGGGGTAGGATGAACAGACAATCCCCTGACGGGGGCCTAGCCAAGCCCTAACACCTAACAGTGACAGGTTATGAAGCACTGTCGAATCCCTAACAGAAAATGTTGCCACCCTTACTGTCTCGACTCAGCAGCCCTCTGAGGGCCCCCCTTGAGGCTCTGCCCGCAGGGTTCGCGTCATTACCAAACAGCAGGGACTCTAGGCGAAAGGATAGGATAGGGAAGAAACGCAGTGTACAAGAATAATAATATCCATGTACAACTGCATGATAAAGCAGTCAGAACGGACCCAACGTGAAAAACAAGGCAGACAGTCGTAACAGTCAGCGATTTGAACTGAGCAGGGAGCGACACGTAGCACGCCCGCTCGCTATGAAGGTTGGGTGCGCTCTGAACAAGGCATTTGAACAAATGCACTATGCAAGGAATATGGCATGCCGACATCAACTGTGTCGCCAATTCTTGCACAGAAAGACAAATTTAAAGAAGTGAAAGTGAGAGACAAATCTACCAGAGTGTTTAAAGGTAGATCACTAATTGCAGAAACTGAGAGGTTACTTCTCATCTGGATTAGGGAAAAACAGATGAAAGGTAATTCAGTTTCTACTGAATTCATTTGTGAAAGAGCCAGGGAGATATACGAACATTTAAAGACAGATCAACCTGGTTCTTCAGGCACAGAATTTGAAGATTTTCGGGCCAGCAAAGGCTGGTTCGAAAAATTTAAGAAAAGAAGTGACATTTTCAGTGTTGTTAGGCATGGTGAAGCTGCTAGTGCTGATAAGGAAGGGGCAGCAAAGTTTTTAGTGGAATTTAAAGAACTGATGGAAGAAGAAAATTATCTTCCACAGCAGGTGTTAAATGTGGACGAAACTGGGCTGTTCTGGAAAAAGATGCCCAAAAGAACATTCATCACCAAAGATGAAGCCTCTTTACCTGGACATAAACCCATGAAAGACCGTCTCACTCAATTGCTTGGTGCCAACGCTTCAGGGGATTTCTGACTGAAGCCTATGCTTGTCTACCACTCTGAGAAGCCCAGGGTGTTCAAGCAACAAAAAGTGTTAAGATGAAAGCTTGGAGTTTATTGGAAGTCCAACCGTAAGGCATGGGTGACAAGACAGTTCTTTAATGAATGGGCTGTTGAGGTGTTTTGCCCTTCTGTGAAGAGCTACCTAACCACCAATAAACTCCCTTTAAAGGCTCTTCTACTTTTGGATAATGCCCCTGGTCATGACCCTGAACTTGCCAGCACTTTGGAGGCTCAATTTGACTGTATCACGGTGTTGTTTTTGCCTCCCAATGTGATCAGCAACTTCAAGAAGTTGTATATAAAGAAAATGTTCAGGTGGTGTTATCAGGCAACTTCCACTAATCCTGAACTAACACTGGCACAGCTCTGTAAGACACAATTTAACATCCTGGAGGCTGTAAAATTGATTGTGTCCTCATGGCGAGAAGTCTCTATTAGATCCCTCAATTCTGCATGGAAAGCACTGTGGCCATCAGCAATCCATGATTTTGAGGGATTTGAAGAAGAAGCAGAATTGGACAAGGAGATTGAGTCCATTGGTCAGTGATTGGGCCTCGAAGAGGAGGAGGTTGATGTGGAAGACCTTGTGATGTCTCATGAGTAAGAACTTACTCCTTATGACTTGCAGCAACTGGATGAGATGTTGGAGACTGACAGTGGTGAGGAAGAAAGGGAAAGTGATGACCACATGTCTACTACAGATTTGAAAGATGTTGTTCACTACTGGGATAAGTTCAGGAAACTGGCTTCTAGGCACCCAGATGTGGAAACAACAGAACCTATTTTGTGCAATGTTCAGGACAAAGTGGTCTCCTTAAAAAATCATTTAATGATAAGGAGAAATGCCTCACAACCAAAATTTGACAGTTTCTTCACTAAAAGGCGTCGGGAAACAGATGCTACCCCTCAGCCTTCCACTTCAAGAAGGAGAGAGGATGTTCCTGCTGGAGAATCTGTCAGTTCAGAGGTTCCTGACATTTTCATGGAAGGTGACTCACCTTCCAAGAAGCAGTAAAATACTTCTCCTCCACCCCCACTTCCTTCTCTTGACCCTTCTCCCTTCTCCTCCTCCACCTCCCACTTCAAATTCACATCAGCATCATCATCCAGAAGCCTTCTACACACACACCTCAAAGTAAGTGTACGTTACTGCATTTTTTTTTTTTACTTTAGGTAATGTTCGGTGAGCTGGAACCAATTAACCAAAAACCCATTGAAACAATGGTTTAAGATAACGAAATTTTCGGTTAACGAACAACCTTCTGAAACGAATTGTTCGTTAACCGAGGGAACACTGTATAGAGAATGATCAGGCTGTAATAATAACTAATGTTTCCATATCTTTGCTGTTGTCTCAAGATAAATCTCTCACGGCGACTCCGCCTTTATCAGCATACCGTATATCTCGGCCTACAAGACGGAATTTGAACAAAAAAAAAATCAGCCCAATGTTAGGGGGTCGTCTTAAGCACCAGAGATAAAATTCTTACCTCTTAAATATTGCGGTTTAGCGTGTCAAGAGTGGTGATGGTAAACCACTCACTAGGTCCTACCACTAATTATTTTATACTGAAACTTACGTTTGGGAAGCTGGATTAAAATGAAGATTACCGGTATATTAAAATAATAAAAATGTATTATAAACCAGTCTAACCTACCGTAAAAGAACAATATACCCCGGTAATAAACACAGCTGCTATCATCACCCCCCCCCCACCCCCATTTGCCAGTGACAAGAAAGGAAAAGTGACCTTGACTGTGACCGCCTGTGGCTATTTTTAGCCGTCCTTGTGTTCGGAGGTGGTCAGTAATGCATATCTGTATATTTATTGATCATAATACTTATCTCCTATAAATAATTAATTTAAAATTTATTTTTTTACAAAGAATATTCAGTAAATGACTGCGTTAATTCTTGAAACTCCGGACAGTGGTAAATTTAGGATGAGAATGATGAACAGAAGTTACGTCATGGATTCGGAGTTTGGTCCTTAATGATCACCATAAATTTCTGGTCAACTTCACCTACCAGGTATAATGGTAGCCTCTCTTTTTCGCAAAACAAGTATATAAATTAAAGAAAATACTTGCAGTGTGTTTAATGTATTACAGTATATTGTAAATAAATTTATAAATAAATAAATCGGCAAATCTATTTCAAGTAAATGGAAATATTTTACTCACACCAACATTAGTTCCAGTTAAATAACCGACGCTTAAATGAGTCACTAGTGTACACCAACCGGTAAAATTTGATGCCAATACTTGAAGTGAATTGGCATTATTTTAAATAACCAACCATAAATAAATGGAAAAAAGATCAGAGGTGAGAAACATCACATTGTATGTATGTTGTGTTGTCAAAGGAAGAGAAACAATTGAAACTCTGCAATTGTGTGTAAATGGGGCAGAAAGATAAATCAGCAGCCTAAGACTTGGTCAAAATTTTTGTGATGCCATATGGAAGTAGGGTCTACCATTAGACAATACTGTACATTATGCTTCCAATATCTTCCCAGGCAGTAGAATCTCCATTTGGTAGCTGCCTAAAACTTTTAGTAATATTACTTTGATACAACATGATAAATTAGACAAACAATGAAAATAAACAAACAAAAGTTATTTACCAAGACCTTCTCTCTCAGAACAGAGGGATGGAGGGGGAGGGGAGATAAGACGGCTATTTATAGCCTGTCATTGTGTAGGAAGTCGACCACGCTAGAAATAATTCATTTAAAATTTATATTTTTTACATAGAATATTCAGTACATGACTGCGATTATAAAATATTGTGGTATATATATTTGTGTAATAAATGTATGTAGTAAGTATGTACAGTAATCTTTTTCACTCAAATCCTAATGAAACACTATTGAATGAGAATACTGTAGCTGGTTGAAGCAAGCTTATGAATTAAAGAAATACTTGCAGTGTGTTTAATATATTACAGTATGTTATACATAAATAAATAAACAAATAAATCGGAAAATCCATTTCAAGTAAATGAAACAATTGTATTCGACACTGACATTAGTTCAAGTTAAATAACAGACTTTTAAGTGAGTCACTAGTGTTTACACTACACCAACCTGTAACATTTGATGACATTACTTGAAGTGAATTGGCCTTATTTTAAAAAACCAAGGATGTGTAAACAGCACTGGTCAATGGGATGGTTGGTAAAGGACTACTGGGTCAGTAAGCTCCCAATGGTAAGTGTCACATTTGGGGTACCGGTCTTATACAGCGAATAGGGCTCAAAAGCTACTTTTTAAATGGAAATTTTGGGGGCGGTCTTACACACCCCGTCGCACTTGTAGGCCGAGATATACGGTATGCTACATGCCAGCATGAGTCAAGTACAGTGATCCCTCGGTTAACGAACGCCTCAGTTAACGAAATTTCGGTTAACGAATTACCTTCCATAAGATTCACTTCGGTTAACGAAAAAATTTCGGTTAACGAATTCCTTACGAATTTTTCCCAACATGTTTTTGCCTGCTTTTGCTTGCTCACCAGCTGTAGTATTAGTCCGCCAATACAGTAATCGGTTTTAGGGCTTAAATTCATTACCATTTGAGTTAATATCAAGAAGGTTGTACTATTCAATAATTTTCCAAGTCTTATATTAAAGTTTTTAGTCATTTTAACAATTATTTAACATAATTGAAGTACAGGGAACTACTTTTTAGCGCGCCAAACAGCCACTTGACTCACCCAAAATGGCGTCAGTGTGTGTCCCTGCTCAGTGGAGGAAGCTTCTTGCTTGAGACTGTCTTCAACATAAACTATTTTTCCTTTTTTACAGTACGTACAATTATTGGTCATTCTGAAGTTTATTTTATATATTGACAGTATATAATGCAGTGCAGTATTGATTTAAAGAAAATAATCTTGAATTACACCAAGTGAACTAAAATTTTATGGGTGAAATGGCGGCATGGGGTGACGAGCCGACCTCAACATGTTTTCGCTTGAATTTAGCAGTCCACCAGCTGCAGTATTAGTCCGCCAATACAGTAATCGGTTTTAGGGCTTAAATTCCTTACTATTATAGTAAATATCAAGAAGTTTATACTATTCAATAATTTTAAAAGTTTTATATTAAATTTTTTAGTCATTTTAACAATTATTGAACATAATTGAAGTATAGGAAGCTAGTTTTTTGCACGCCATACTGTCTGTCAACGCACCATACAGGCGTCAGTCGCTGTGTCTTTTCAGTGGAAGTAACATCTTGCTTAAGACTCTTCAACATAAATGCTTTTTTCTGTGTTTCCAGTCAAATTATTGGTCATTTTGAAATATATTTTACATATTGACAATATATAATGCAGTGCAGTGTTGATTTAAAGAAAATCTTGAATTACACCAAGTAAACTAAAATTTTATGGGTGAAATGGCAGCATGGGGTGACTTCTCTTCCACCCCAATGCCTTCTCTTCTCCCTTCTCCTCCACCCCCATTCTAATTCCCTTCATCATCCAGGAGCCTTCTACATACACACCTCAAAGTAAGTGTACTTTACTACCATTTTTGTTGATTTTAGGCAATTTTCGGTGAGCTGGAACCAATTACCCAAAAACCCATTGAAACAATGGTTTCGGTTAACGAGTTTTTCGGTTAACGAGCAACCTTCTAGAACGAATTGTGCTCGTTAACCGAGGGACCACTGTACTGTAATCTTATTTGTTATCCTACACGAATTAATATAGCCGGGTCTTATTCAAACTGTGAGATGGACTAAGTCAATAACATGACAAATTTAGTCATATACTTTTATGAACAGACACTTTGACAGTGTACTTCTAGAAGACATCCAGAGTACTGTGTATCTGCATTTCTCACAGGAGCTGCCCGTTGTAGTGGTCTGCCCTGATGAATCGCCTAGAAGCTTCACTGTGGGACGAGGACATTATAAGTTACTACAACAATGTTCACTGTCGTCAAGTCTGCACACCATGACACATCGTCCATAGGGCCAATTGCAAGATCTGCCGTGGTATCCCCGCTGTCGTAATACAGTGGAGTAAAAATTTTGTGCTTTTTCAAGATGGGCCGTGGTGGTACCCGACCGTCATTTGCTGTTACTATGTCATCGTAGTGTAGTCAGGTGTACCAACTGGCGGAAGACTGGGAGGTTGGTATGCTTGCTCCTTCAAAACGTTGTCAGTGGCACAAAATGTTTACTCTTGCTACACGATTTACGAGCATGAAAAACTTGACTCCCAAGCTAAGGTGTACCTCATTTTCCTATTTTCTTGGATTATAAGCCAATTCTGGGAATGAATATGATCACTTACAGTGAATATAGGTAAATAAAGCCTGTGACAACCATAAAAACGTAGGAATAGTGTAATATCCGTTCCTTTCTTCTTTATCCTTATTAAATCTAACAATAAAGTAATAAGTTTGCCACGAACTTGGGGTTGGGTCAGTGTAAATAAAGAGAAATATGGCCTGTTCTGTGGATGAAGTCAGTAGAATATAACAAAGCACAGTATTAGGTATTATAATTTTGCTATGACAGTGATGAACTCAGTGGTCAGATGAATTGGGATAAAATCTTGAAAAAATATCACCATAACTTTTAGTTTTCTATCAAACAGGAAATTATCTTTTGTACCCAAAATATTTACTTTCATATTATACAAGTATAAAGGCCAATTATCTACAAGATATGAAAACTTGAGATAATGTTTCCTACTTGTCTCCACCTGATTATAGTAATGCAATAAATACCCTATGGAAAAAAAGCAATATATGAACACTTACCCAATGTCAGGAGTAAAAATGTATACAATATGTTAAGACACGGACTAAACCAGCAGTTGGAGAAAAGTATCTGCTGTTTAAATGGTCTTTTATTTGGAAAAATATTCCATGTAAATACAGTTAGTGTGCAGACATATATTTACAAGGCATATACTCACAACTATAATGGAAAGGAAGACGTTAGGTTAAGTTAGATTAGGTTCATCTTGTGAGCAAATGTCATGCAACCCATATACAGTAGGTATAGTCATGAAATTCTACCAACTCATCAGAGACTAATAATATTAAACATAGAACAAGATGTTAATTAAATTATTTAAAAATATCCTCAACACAGTCTGCAATGTTAATTACAAATTATTCCTGCATTTTTTAATGTTTAATATAAACTGTAATAACAATAAGGATAAGAATGCAATGATAATGCTTATGTCAGAATATAGCCTTTATTAAAAGCAGGATATGTTATAATATATGGATGATCAAGAGTAAAGTGCACAATATTTTGAAGGAAAAATCATCCACAAATTTCACAAATATATTAATACGTAATATCCATGTATGTATGCAGAGTGTAAAATTTAAAACAAAAATTAATTAAGGCATATGTTATGATTTCTCCAAATGCATATTTTCTGAAAATTCCAGAAACTGCATTTTTTCTGGTCTGAGTAATTTGGGGATTTTACGGAGTCTCCAAATTTTTCTGTTCTAAGTCCGAGAACCAATTCCAAGGTTAGGTGAGGTAGCAAATTCCAAAATCTTCCCAGGAACCGGAAAAATTACCCATCATTCATGATACCAAGATTTATTTCTTCAATATTGGTGAAAGGTGAAGTCAGCTGTATCTCCACCTGTTCGTGAAAATAAAGTCATTAATATTATGTTAGTTAAATTTGCGAATTCTGAAACATTTTTATTTGTGAGGGTTAATATAAATAAGTTTCCAACACCTACATATTGTGGGTAATTTTGTCTGTTAAAAAAAAATTAAGATAAAAAAATCCAATGGAAACTCAGATTTCTTTGTTTTGATATGTAGCACACACACTCAAAAAATTTATTTTTTTTCTAATGTAGATTTTTATGGTGATTCCAAAACTTTGATCCTTTTTTTTTTTTTTGGAGAAATTCATAAAAAAAAATTATAAGCCCTTTAAAATTTTAATGTTCTACATTCAAATGTTAACCTAATCTACCTAGCTTAACCTAACTGGAAAACATCTGTCAACTTAAAATCCTAAAATTCCCTGGATGACCGAAAAGATAATAAGACCTTAAATATCATTTATTTTGGAAGACATTATTCATTTTTGTTGGAATCATGGACATACAAAGCCAATATATCTGCATATGATTCTACCACTGTCAATGGCAAAGTGAATTATTACCACCACTCCAAATGATGCACAAAAAGTAGTAAGGTAGTTCTTTCTTGCAATACATCGAGTCACTAAGGGAATTAAAAAAAACGAACATGAATTTATGTCACTGAGTTTATCTTAATAGTAACAAATTGTGGTTAAACTGATACACAAATGAAACATGCCTGGGAACTACCTGGCACTGGTTACCTGGCATATTTGGACTTATTCAAATGTGAAATTTAGGCTACTAAGTATTTATCCTAATGAAATAATTATTTTGGTAGTGCTGGACGGTTATACAGGTTGTACCTCTCTAGTCCGGCATTCTGTGGTCCGGAAACTCCCGTGGTCCGGAACGATTTTAGTTTGTCCAATAGGTAGATAGGCAGCTTTTTTTTCTTTTTTTTATCTGAATTATTATTATTATTACAGGAGTATTAAATTTGTGCCCCTCAGGCCCCAATGTGGGTCAGTGACCTATTCCCGGGTGGGCTAATCCCCTTAAAAAAAAAAGCCGCGGGAAATTACGGTTTGTTTACATCCGGCAGTTCGGCTGCTCTCTCTCTCTCTCTCTGCTTGTCTATACAGAGTACAACATTTAACCCTTCAATATATATGAGCAGTAAATAAGTGTTGCTTTCATATTCTTATGTAGAGTAATGACGATATATTTTCACATGTGCACACTTACATACGAGCAGTCTCACTTCTTTTTTTTTACCATTAATGGTTAGCTACTTATATTGTTCCATTTATTAACATTAAATAACATTACAGGTACTTCAAGCAACCATATTCATTTTTTTACATTAATTTTACTACAGCTAAACTCAGGGTCTTATTTTCTTCAGTTTTATATGTAGAACCAATCAGTCACTGGTTTCGTAAGCTTTAACATAAACAATGCCAGCAGCTGTCTCGTCTCCTCTAATATTCCACGTATTATTAATAAATTGTATTGTTAATTTTGCACACACGTACATTAATTCAATAAAAACAAATTCAGAAACATTAATTAAAATATATATGAACAGTAAATAAGTGTTGCTTTCATATTCTTATGTAAAGTAATGATGAAATGTTTTCACGTGTGCGCATGCGCACTTACATATGCGATCTCTCTTTTTTCTTTACCATTATCGTTAGCTACTCCTATTGTTCCATTTATTAACATTAAATAACATTACTTAAAACAACCATATTAATTTTACTACAGCTACAACCAAGGTCTTATTTTCTTCAGTTTTATATGTAGAACCAGTCAGTCACTGGTTTTGTAATCAACGAATACAATGCTGTGTCATTTCCTCGTGTGTTTTAATATGCCACGTATTATTAATGAATTGTATTGCTCATTTTGCACACATAAACATTAATTCAATAAAAAAGACATTCAGTAATAAACAATAATGAATCTTTTGTACATAAGAGAAATGAAGCTGTTTACACGATTATGCACGTCGTCTGCACGTTGGCGGGCCGTTCAAACCCGTCGAAATTCAAGTTTCCGCCGTCAAAATTTTTATTTATTTATTTTTTTGTGTTCCAATAAAATACGTTAAGAATTAAAAACTCGCGAAATTTGAGAAGCTACTATACGACATTTAACCCTTCAATATGTCTTCAAAGAGACCATGATGCAGAGAAAGTGGTGCTAGTGCTTCTAGGCATAAGCACAAGTCACTATCTATCCAGGAAAAGGGTGAATTTCCATGGTCCGGCAATTTCCATGGTCCGGCACCAGTCAGGTCCCGAGGTTGCCGGACTAGAGAGGTACAACCTGTAATTGCACTAATTACGAAAATTGGGTCGATATTATTTCTGATAAGGGACGTCATTCACCATCCCAGATGGAACAGTTCTCACCACTCTTCAAATAGACCACTTATGACTTTTTTAGCTTAATTTAATTTCCATACATTTCTACACATAAATTATTTGGATTAGTTATCTTAAAGGCTTACCTTTTATGATGGTTAGGAGAATTTGGAGGATATAAGCGGTGATGAGGTAAGTAGAGGCTGGCGGATGTTCCTACACAAAAATGGAATTCTTTTAAAAAAACAATAAAATTCTTCATGTGCTGTTCTATATGGAGGATACCTTATAAAAAATATTATTCCTTTGCAGATTTATACAATTTATGTGCATCCAATTCTATTTCTTTTCTTTTGGTTTCAAAATATAGTTCCATCGTAGTGGTCATCGGGCGGTGGTGCGAGGACCACGGAAATCTCCCACATTCCAATAACGAATCGTAGGCATTTTTATTTTTTTTTAGCCCAGAGTGCTTCTTGCAAACCGACCATGGGGCTACCACAGCATGGTGTACACAGTGGATGTTCTTGCAACTGGCCCATACTCAGGAAACCTATCGCCTCTCACTCATTGGACCTTCAGAAAATACACCGAAATGAATTGATCACAAACATTACAGTGTTGAAGAACAAATCAATGGATACCGATAGTGATAATGATGCAACCTTATGGCACCCACTGACATTTGTGAAAGGCAATTCTCATCCCACAGAGACTTCAGCCTTGGTGGTGTTCGCGGTGATTACCACTATCTATAATAATCATAATTGCTTTTGTCTTCTATGTAAAGAAGCAGCTTTGTAGACCAGCTATAGCTAAATCTGCTATACAGGCAGCTATCCCTAATATTTTTCATTACACAGCCGTACGCAGTACATAGTGGCAGTCACTTGAGACCATCACCAAGGTGGGCAATTAGCAATACCCATGTGATAGGATTCTTTTCTTTTATGCAGCCATCCAAGGACGGTTGACCTTTGACCTGACGTGGCCGAGCAATCTGTAACCAGTATAATTTATATACTGTATAATTTAGAGTAATTAGTTAATACCTGTAACTTACAACCATGGATGTATAATTATGAACATTCATTATTCAGTGACCTGTAGAGGTTAGAGGTTGTTCATAGGTTATAGCCGTATTAAACATCCCGCAGATGTTATGTCTAGCCCGAGTGTCGCAGTATGATGTAACTCACTCTCTCTCTATCTCTCGGTAGTAGGTATTTCTTTAAACACTAAATAGATTGCTCATTTGTGGTAAATGGATACTTTGCTTTACACTTGCAATGCATCAAGTATGTTAGATAGCTAAGTAATACAGGTTAACAATCCCTCATCCGAAATCCTTGGGACCAGATGCTTTTCGGTTTATGAAATTTTTCGGTTTTCATAATTTTTTTTTTTTTTTTTTTTTTACAGGGATCAGCCCACCCGGGCACAGGTCACTGACCCACATTGGGGCCTATTATAATAATAATAATAATAATAATAATAATAATAATAATAATAATAATAATAATAATAACAATAACAATAATAATAATAATAATAATAATAATAATAATAATAATAATAATAATAACAATAATAATAACAATAATAATAATAATAATAATAATAATAATAATAATAATAATAATAATTCATAGGTCTAGGTCGTGTTTCTCACTTTTGATCTTTTTTCATTCTTGTATTTCTTTATTATTATTATTATTATTTTATTATTACAGTATTATTGTTATTATTATTATTGTTATCATTCTTATTTTATTTTTGTGTATTTTTTATTAAAAATTTTATTTACTATGAATAATAATTATTACTACTATATTATCATTATTATTACTACAGTCGGCCCTTAACATACGCGGGTTTAGCATACACGGATTTGCAAATACAGTATTACCCCGCCTAACGCGGTTTCATTTAGCGCGTTTTATCATATACACGGTGCCTCGCCAGAGCTGAACTTTCACTTAACACGGATTTTTTCATCATATACGCGGTGAGTGTCCGGCTCGAGACGCTATTTTTAGATTTGCCCCACCCGCCCGCCTGCCTGCCTGCCTCTCCCTCCTCCTCCCTCCGCTTGGGCAAGCGGCGCGGTAAGGTTGCGCAGTGTGTGTCTTTGTTGCGTTATCACTGACGTCATATGACGTATCAGACCTGTGATTGGCCATGCATCCCTACCCCCCTCTGCTGCTAGCTGTAATTGGCTTAAAGTATTATGACGTGACCACCCCGGGGAGGGAGGAGAGACGATGCTTGACCTAGCCGCGGCAGTTTCATCCCTCAAGGCCACACCGTGTAAACGCGCATCCATTGTTCCGTAAAATGGCTTCCGCCGGACCACCACCGCCACCAGAGAGAGACCTTTCCTTACCTGGACCCAGCGGCACTAAGCCAAAGAAGACACGACGTTCCTTAAGCTACGAGGTGAAGTACCAAATTGTTCAAGATTTGGAGAAAGGAAGACGGCAAGTTGATCTCGCGCGCCAGCATCGCGTCAACGAATCTACGATTCGCACGATCAAGAAGGATGCAGCCAAGATCAAAGAGCACATGAAAATCACAAAGTCTGCAGGTGCTTCATCTATCAGGTATTGCCAGAACAGGGTGCTGGCAAAACTGGAAAATTTGCTGGTGAGCTATTTGGTTCGTCAGGCACGACGCAACATGGCGGTGGACACGCGCTCAGTGCTGGAGTACGCACGTGAGCTATACGCAGCAGTGTCACGTAAGCTGGGAATTGCAGAGCCCAAACCCTTCAATGCTTCCTCTGGTTGGCTGCATAGGTTTAAGAAGAGGAACAAGATCACCAACATCAACATTGGTGGTGAGGAAGCGAGTGCTGACCGTGTGGCGGCTAGAGATTTTCCTCCGTTCTTACGTGAGATTATGGAGGAAGGACAGTACACTGACGACCAGGTGTTTAACATGGACGAATCTGGTCTTTTCTGGAAAAAGTTACCTTCCAAGACCTTCGTTGTCCAGTCTGCCAGCAAGGTAAGGGGTCGGAAGTTGCAGAAGGAACGCATCACCGTCCTGTTTACCACCAATGCCTCCGGTACCTGTAAACCAAAGTTATCGGTGATTCACACAGCCCGCAAGCCGCACGCCTACAAGAATATGGACATGAACAAGCTTAATGTCCACTGGCTAACCGCACGTAAGGCGTGGATGTCCTCTTCTCTGTCCCTCTTCTGGTTTGACAACTGTTTTGTTCCCGACGTGAAGAAATTCTGCGAGCAACAGAATGTTTCATTCAATATTTTGTTGCTCCTTGACAACGCACCTGGACACTCGCCCCTACTTATGGATCGTCACCCCAACGTAAAAGTGGTCTTCCTTCCTCCCAACACTACGTCATTAATCCAGCCCATGGACCAGGAGTTGATCTGCAATGTTAAAGCTGCGTACTCTGCAAAGAAGTTCAAGCTGCTGAACGACTCTACCAACACCAAGGATGAGTTGCGTAAGCTGGGTGACACCGACAGCGAGAGCAAAAGCGACGAGGACAAGGAACAAGAGGCGGTGACTCAAGAACTTCTCGTCAAACAATTTTGGAAGAAGTTTAACGTTAAACAAGCTGTAGACTTCTTGGTGGAGGCATGGGATCTGCTGACTATTGCTACGATTCGTCACGCATGGAGACATGTGTTGCATGGCATACCAGGTGAGAGGAGGAGTGAACCTGTGACTGGTGAGGTTCAGACTGTTGCAGTAGCAGTGGACCTTGCCAGAGAAGCTGCGCTCAATATTACAGCTGAAGGCTTCTCCGAGACCACCAACGAAGACATCCTGGAGGTGATCAGAGATCCTGAAGTGACTGCCGACGAGATGTTGGAAGAAGAACACGCCAGTGAAGAGGAGGAAGAAGGTGCGTCATTCTCCGAAGAACCTAGTTTAAGTCATAGTGATATTAAGTGTGCCATAGAGTTTGCAGAGAAAATTAAGTCCGTCCTTTCCCGCGACAATGACGATGACCGCTATGAAGTCTTCCATACCCGGCTGGTGCAGGCTATGGAGCCGTACATCACGGTGTATCATGACAACATCAACGCCAGCCGTCAGCAAAGCATAACCGAGTTCTTCGCCCGCAGAACCCACCACAGCCAGCCCAAGCCAGTGAAAGTGAAGTTGACTTTGAGGGATTTGTCAGGGAAGCCCTGACAACTATAAGTGACAGTGATGGTGATTCACCTAGTAATGGTGATTCACCTGAGGGCCAGTAATCTGCCCTCTGCCTCGGAACCAGCCTCCATCCCCGTATGCCGACCCATCTCTTCTACTACCGTAAGTGTTCCACCTAACTTTTAGTTTCTCTAACTTAACCTTCATTTTTCCTATGTTAACCTTTATGTTTCCTAACCCAACCTCTTCTATATTACTTGTTTTTTCATACCATCATAAAGTTAAGATAAAATTTTTACTACAACATAGTTATGTGTCGTCAAAAAGTGGAGTTTGGGGGTCAGGCTGGTTTCTATTGGAATTAATCCCATATGTTCTGTTGTTCACTTAACGCGGATTTCACTTAACACGGGACCCTCTGGGTTCAATTGACCGCGTTAAGTGGGGTACTACTGTACGCGGATTGCCCCACCGGAGGAATATTTTGTACATTGAAGTAATTGAAGTACATTCAAATCGCGCGCCATTCAACTCGCGAGCGGCACCGAACACGGGACACCGCCATCTCCCGCAACCTCACACACACACGCATAGCTCTCCCTCACTCAGTCAGTCAGTCTCGCTGTAACCACACTTGTGTTGACATCAGCATTGTAGTTGCAAAAATATTACATTTCCGTGAATGTATTATATCAAGCACAGTATGAATAGAATATCACTAATATAAGAGTATTTTAACCGAAAACTACTAAAAAAACGAGTAACATATCTTGAACATCGAAAGGTTAGGTAAAGTCTTTTGTTTTCATGTAGTTTATCCTAATTTACATTGAAATGCATTACATTTCAGCAAAACTACTATTTATTTCTGAGAATATGGAAATGTAATATTTTGCTGAAATGACGTACGTATTACAATGGAAAGTGACGAAAGCAATGACTCGCTTTCTTTCGTTCAAAAGATGTTACCGTAATCACTTTTCGAATGGTTTTCAGTTAAAAAACTGTTGTATTACAATAATATTCTATCCTAATTCACTTGTGATACAACAGTTTTTTAACTGAAAACCATTCGAAAA